ATACCACGTTTATTACAAATGTTGAACCTAAACACAGCATCAGTCTTAAAGGGACTTCTTTAAAGGCAACTCCTAAGTTGACGATGGTTGTTAAAATATAGTGCTCCTGAAACCTCGTATTGTTAGATATGTATGTGTCAAGGAAGGAATTATTTTGAAATAAAATTGCGTTTTAGTGGTCCGCATCAGGTTAGCACTCTTCAAATTACCTGCCTCAATGGCACATCTCAAGTCACTGTTGCCATGCACGACGTTGCGCAGCCTTAATTCGCGGTCGCCAACACTATAGTAGCAGCAGAGGGAAAGTAGCGGGAGCCACGGCAGCAACAATGGCCATTGAACAATTTTTACCTATCACCTACGAGATTGACGCATGCTTGGTTCAGCTGGGTCCTGCTAGATGGCACGACTAGTCTAGTTTAACCAGGTGAAAATCGAATTTTTGAACCTCTTGTGCCATTTTCTATAGTAATGTTTGGCGGTTCTTTTTTCCACGAATGAAACGAAAATGAACGAGCAGCATTTAAATACAGCTTTTTATGCACACAAGGCTCTTTATTTAGGGCAGCTAGATATATTACTAGTGATTTATTTATTTTATTTATTATTTATTTATTACATACTGCTGACCTGTTTACCAGGTCTTAAGCAGGAATGGGCATACAGAAATGTTTACTACAAAAAATAACATAATTGACATCACACAGCATACTGACAGTGGTTACAATTCAACACTTTTGTATTAATTTACAAAAAAACTAAAGAAAAACATTACAACAATGGCATATCTTTGCTGACTGAAACGTACTAAAAAAATGGAAGCATTGTGTAACTCTGGGCTGCATGACTAGTACAAAAAAAACTGTTAGTGGTTATTGAGAGCATGTAGAAATAAGTCAACTGTTGGACACTGTACAGCATCGGGTGATAGGCAATTCCACGCACGGGCAGTTATTGGAAAAAATTAATACCTGAATGTGCCTGTGCGGTTTACGTAATCTGACTTTCTTTGAATGATGCTGAGTGCATAGCATATTCACTTATTTGTCTAATGTGCACTGTTTTGTTGATACCAATTTTGTTGTGGAAAATGAGGTAAAAACGCTTCAGCCTCTCCATTGTTCTTCTCTCCTGTAGTGTTTCGAGATCCGCTTTAATTAGTAGAAGTGAAGGGAAGACGCCAACTATAACAAATAAAAACAAATCGGACAGAAAATAAAAACAAATCTTTGGACCATTTCTAATTTTTTAATATTGGACTCAGTGAGGGGATCCCACACTGCAGCTGCATATTCTAATACTGGTCTAATGAAAGTTTTGTATGCGAGAAGTTTGATGTGTGGTGTGGCATTCACAAGCCTCCTTCGCAAATAGGCAAGCTTTTTCAGTGCCTTTCATTGAATATATTCTATATGTTCATTCCATTTTTGGTCTTATGTGAGTATGACTCCTAAATATTTGTGTTTAGTGACTTCGGATAATGCATGGCCATTAACGTGATAGGTGAACAGAAGCGGCTGTTTCTTACGCGTAACTCGCATTGCTACTGTTTTTTTATAATTAATTGTCATCTGCCAATTTTAACACAAAGTTTGTAGCGTTGCTAGTGCATTATTTAATGATTCTTGATCACTGTAACTATAAATTCCCTGATGTAGTATACAATCATCCGCAAAAGAGCTTTATTTTTACGGGCAAGTTTAGAACAATATCATTAATAAATAACAGAAAAAACAACGGCCCCAAAATTGACCCTTGAGGCACACCCGATGTTACGGGGGCAGAACTTGAGGTGACACCATCAATGGCAACAAATTGGCTCCTCATTGAAAGATAGGCAGTTATCCATGCAATTTCTCATTCTTAAGAATTGGTTGAGCTTAATTAATAATTTCTTGTGACTCACACGATTGAAAGCTTTCTCAAAATCCAATAATATAACATCTACTTGACCATTCATATCGATCGCTGCTGCTAGGTCATGAAACGTCTCAATAAGCTGGGTTGCCCTAGAATACCCTTTGCGAAAGCCGTGCTGAAGGGGGTGTGATTAGGTTATTTCTTTCGACAAACATAGACAAATGTTTGAATATTATATGCTCTAGAATTTCGACCCTAGATAATAGCAAGGAGATAGGCCTAAACGAGGACACAAGCGAATGGTCATCAGTTTTTGGTACTGGAGTGATCTTAGCGTGCTTCCAATCACTCGGAAGTTCAGTGCGCAGGAGAGATGATTTAAAGATCGAGCATAGGTATTTGGAATTCCATTCAGCATACCTTATCAGAAAGGTGTTAGGTACAGAGTCAATGCCTGGTGACTTGTTTAGATCAAGATTAAGCAGAAGCGATAAGACACCCCCTGTAGTGATACAGGTGTCATCCCTGATGAAATCAGGGGTAACATCATTATCACGCGTGTACACCCAACAGAAGTAATCATTCATCGCGTCTGCTATTTCCCTCTTGTCGGTTATAACATCACCGTTAATAGGTAAGCTTGATACTGGACTTTTTTTCGGTGAAAGATATTGCCAAAACCTATTTGGTGTCGTCAAGAGAAAGTTTGTCAAAGCCTCGCTTTAATATTTTTCCTGTGCACTTTTCAATTTGGCTTTCAGTGTGTGACGCATCTCTGATATATTATCTAGTCGAGACAATGATGCTCGTTCTATTTGTCGCTTTCTTGCCTTCTTTAGCTTGTGCCCTAGGCGTACAATTTCTTTCGTAATCCAGGGGCTAGACCGGTTTAATACCTTGTGTTTGTGAGGAACAAAGTTTTGGATACATTTAATTACTAGTTCTTTGAAAAAGCACCACAATCAGTCAACAGATCATTCACTTTCTTAGGAAAGCGTTACGAAATCTAAATAAGAATGATCAAGAGCGACCTTTATGTCCACATCACTAGCACGTGAGAATACGGGTACAAAAACGGTCTTTTTATCGAGCATTTTAGCATAGTACAGTTAAAAGCTTAATGACACAATTTTATGGTCCGAAATGCCGCCGTAAATTTCTATTACCGGACTGCGGTTATATATACCTCTACTAACAAGAAAGAGGTCTAAAATTGTGCTAGATTCGTTTTGAATGCGAGTGGGCGTTTTCACAAGCTGCGTCAAGTCATGAAACAGCAAAGCATCAAGAAAAGATACAGATGCAGCAGAGATGGCATGTGGAAATTCATCCGACCAATTTATCATGGGAAAATTAGTCACCATCGATTAAGACGTTGCAACTATTCGTTTTATACTGACACAAAAACTCATTTAATTGTTCCACAAACTCATCACCACAATTGGGCGGACAATGAAATCCCCCAACGACAATATGTAGTTCATCAAATAACATTTTAACGACAACACATTCAATTCCCTTAATATTGGGTAATCGTGTCACATATAGCGATTCTCGAAACATGATTACAACACTGCCACCAAGGGAATCTCTGTCATTACGGTACATTTTGTAGCCTGGTGACGTTATTTCATCATCACCTATGTCTCGGTGTAGCCACGATTCTGTAATTATTAACATATGCGGTTTGTGGGCTATTATTACACTTTCTAATTCAACGACCTTATTAATCAAACTACGGGCATTTATGTTAAGACAACAAAACTGCTTAGTTTCCTTGCTTTTATGTCGCTTCTTATCTCGCAGCCTGCTACTGCGTCGACTATAGGAACCCTCTTCATGTGAATACTGTCCCATTCATACGTTTCATTATCAATTCGAATTTTATCATATGACAGTTTCATCCTTTACTCCCGCTTTCCTGCTATCAGAGGCACTATTCCATAGGTTCTTTCGGATTTGCCTTGTGGCTGCCGAGAAGTCCTCAGACACAGAAATGCCCATTCCTTTCAGTTTAGAACAGTTCTTCCGCACGTGCCTTTTTTCCCTCTCATCTAAGAACTATAAGATCACAGGTGTAGGTTTTTCGGGTTGCTTTTAGATTTTACCTCTACACCAAGCTTAGTTTTGAACAAGTCTTCAGCTATTGCTTATTCCAGCGATTCTGGTGTTCCTTCCGGTTTTTTCAGGAATGCTAAGAACCAGAAGATTGCTTCTTCTGCTTCTGTCTTCTAAATTCGCCAGGCTTTTTTCTAGTCCTTGCACTGTTTTTTCGAGATTGGCAACTTTGGTACTCAGTTCCGTCACTGATGCTTCTACCTTTTTAAATTTCAACTCTATAGTATCAAGTCTTTTGGCCTTCAAGAAGTTCTTTCGACACTTGTTCGGTAGTCGGACCTGGGTTCGATTCGATATCGCCACAAAGTTTCAATAGAGACAGTACTACAGGTAACACATGCATAAGGTGGTGGGGCACTTCAGCTGGATAAAGCAAGGATCACTAGTTTTGACACAGGAATACTTGCTACTGACCTGCATAAAGAAAACCAAAGGGTTGGTCATGGCTGTTACAGGCGGCCAGCCGACGTGCCCACTGAAGGAAAGCCGTGATGTTGGGCTGCCTATATAGGTGTCAGTCGATGACGGTGGTGGCATCCAAGAGTTGAGAACAAGCGATGCCTCTTCTGCGCAGTCGCCGAGATAGATCGGCGCAGCGCCGATGGAATCCACTATCTTGTTTGATGCATCGGCCGTGAATGTTGCCCGTGCCAGAAGCAACTGCATACAGAAAACCAAAGGGTTGGTCATGGCTGTTACAGGCGGCCAGCCGACGTGCCAGCCGACGTGATGAATTGTAGGCGGTTTGTCTGACAAAATGCGTACTGTGGCGCATTTGTTATCGTGCGTTTGCCTAATTTCTCGGTAAGTAGGGCACTGCTGTTAATAATGTCATTTTAGATGTCGTTATGCATTAAGATTTCACTCTGATGTGAATTATTACTTGACTTTAGTGTCTCTTTAAGCAGTAGCTGGATCATCGGAATGATTAGGTGACTGTGTATCAGGGTCTTTTTCAAATGCAAGTAGCATTTTAGAAACAATTGTGCGCAGCTCTTTTTGTGGCGACTTTTTTCTTACAGGGACCACCTGACTGTGGCTCAGCAGCAAATCAGAGATATGCGCGACACCATTGCTGTCACCTTGACTTCTGCCAATCCACCAAGTATGACTCGGCGGCAGTGATTTCAAAAACATCAAGCCTGGTCGAGTCTGCAGAGGCCTTGCAGCTACCAAAGTGCCCCCCTTTTTTTTCTTCAGGGTTTGCAGTGAAACACCTGTTGAATTCTCCGGCGTATTTCTTAAAAGGAATGCAAGTTTTGTACATTTTTTCTTTTGTGTGCCAAATAAAACAACAATCTTGGGGGAAGAGTGGTGTCAAGTGTCTTCAGCCTGTGTTGGCAGCATTTTTTTCTGGCACGATAGCTAGGTGCTTCTTTTTTTAATAGTTGTGCCAATGAATATCTCCACCATTGCAAGGTGCATTCAATACCTGAAAAGCACATTTGTGCAAGTTCTGGTTGATATTGCGTATCTCATGTGCGGCGTGACCTCGTGCTTGAGCGCCACAAAGCATCTCGCTTCTCGTGTGCTTTTCGTGGCATATGCTGGCGCTCGTGCTTGCGAGGGCACAGGTTTTTGTTGTGTTGGTGACCTATTTACAGTGAGGCAGTCTAGCGCTAAAATGGCATTGTACTTATGTTTAATATAATAATATAATGCCAACAATCTGTGGCTGGAACATAGCGTTTTATTGAGACAGCATTGATATAGACAACGGCCAATTTCTCCCGTTGGCGTCTCCGTTTATCGGCGCTGTTTGTCCATGCCGTCAGGCCCCGTCTATGTATATAAATATCTGCGTTGCCAAATGCCGGGGAGCAAAATGGCTAGATGGCAGCGTAAAAGCAGCTGAAAATAGCTAAAACGTCCAGCAAGGACCTAAAAAGTAGTTAATTTCTTCAAGCATTCTTAGGCATATTCAAGAAGTGCAACAAATTTACTGGCAGCTGTTCCATCTTGCAGTTAAGACCAATTTTGTTTAAACAACTATCAAACGGCGTTTTTTTTTTTGCGCGCAACTATGTTGAACATGTATATAAAGAAAAAGAAAAGCGTTTGCAGTTTCGTTCAATAATTTGGAGCAGGTGGGGTGGTTAGAAAAGCGTCCAGGCTTCCGCACTCATCATAGATGAGCTGCGTGTGCACATAGCTTTGTAAACATTGGGGTGTGCGGATGTTCGAAATTTTTTGAATAAGAAATAGAATAGGGCATAACCGAACAACCGTATATTTCAATATTTTTCAATAACGACTACGGAGGAGAAAATTACAATGGGGCAACGTGTTAGGGAATTAATTAGTTAAATCTGAAGCATTTGCATTTCCCTATGTACTGCAAGCACAATTGCCGTTTATTTGGGGGTCTATCTTTTCAGCCGCCTACATGAGGTGCGGACTGGACCACACAGCGAATATAAAGCAACCTCCTCGTCGTCATTCAGTGTGATACAGCCGGCGACATTCCTACCCCCTGCGTCTCATCATAGCTAGAAATCACGCCTACACAATTTGGCAATGGAATTGTAGAAGCTACGCGAATAAGAAAGCAAATCTTAACCAATACCTTAAGGGGAAATTTAAGCCCGATATCATTTTTTTGGTGAAGACACACTGTCTGGCTAAATTTGCAGGCTACCGCTCGATCGAACATGCCAACAGGGAGACGACTGTTCTTACCACCCTAGTTAGACTAAACCTTACGTTCACGCAACACGACACGGAAATTAGCAATATAGACAATATATTTATTGAACTCGTTCCGCAACGCAAGACACACGAAAGTCTTTTTATAATAACATATACAGCAACCCTAAACAAACGAAGCACAGATTTCTCACACTCTTTAAACGCGCTCTCAACATCGCTGGCCAAAATCCCATCTTAATAGCGGGGTCTTCAACGCACCACACACTGCCTGGGGATACTCTTATGTGTTTCCTAAAGGTAGGGCCCTCTGGTTTGACTCGCAGCAGGAGGGATTAACTCTCATCACTAACCCTAGCACACCCACACGTGCGGGCACTAGCTCCAGTGAAGACACAACACCTGATCTGACGTTCACGACAAGCACATTAGCAGCCACCTGGAAAAATACTCTAGAGGACCTGGGTAACGACCACTACATCATCGAGGTACATGTTCAAGGTGGCCCACGTAAACCCATGGGAAAACAGCTAAAGTTGGTAGACTGGACCCCGTTCCGCAAATCACGTAAAAACCAGGTCCAACCCATCAGCCGCATAGAGGACTGGATAAACACGCTTAAACAGGATATTAATAACGCCACCCGAATCGTACCTTCCGAGGCACACCTCAAAAAGATCGATAGCCGGCTCCTCCACATGTGAGAGGCAAAGCAATCACTCCATAAGAGGTGGAAGACAGAGAAACACTACAGAAACCTCAAGAAACGCATACCACTCCTCAACACAGAGATAGAGATGTATGCAACACAGCTAAGCCGGCAACACTGGGATGAAAACTGCGATGCGATGGACAGGCAGCTAAGTCTTAGTAAAACATGGCATTTTCTACGGTTCCTGCTCGATCCAGAAGACAGCAAAACTGCCCAACAACAAAACATCAACAAACTAATAAATGCTTACAAGGGCACCGACGAGGAGTTTCTTAGGGAGGTAGAGCTCGAATATATCTCTCAGGCTCCTACTCAGCAGCATCCAGATTATACGGGCCAGGTCGACACCACTCTAGACGAAGAATTCACCGAAGCGGATATCCGTGCCGCCCTACAAAAACTTAAAACTAAATCTGCACCTGGTCCGGACAACATCACGAATAAGATGATATGCAATTTGGACGATGAGTCGATCACGCATATCACAGACTATATTAATAACTGCTGGAACACCGGAATCTTGCCCTCGCATTGAAAAACGGCCAAGGTGATTCTGATTCCGAAACCAAGCAAACCACTGAATGCTGACAATCTTAGGCCCATCCTCTTAACATCTTGCATAGGCAAATTGATGGAACACACTTTCCTGGCTAGACTGACAAATTACCTCGAAGACAATTATTTTTTCCCACACACCATGATTGGCTTCCGCAGGCATCTTTCAACGCAGGATGCCATGTTGCAGCTTAAGAATCACATCAGAAACAGTACCGGACGCTCCACTAAGGGCATACTTGGTCTTGATCTGAAGAAGGCTTTTGACTCTGTCACTCATAGCACCATTCTAAATCAGGTCAATACCATAAACTTGGGGCTTCGCACGTACAACTATACAAGGGCATTCCTTACGGGCAGAACGGCCACGATCACTGTGGGAGCACTCAGGTCGTCCAATATAACCATAGGAAGTGCGGGCACCCCGCAGGGTTCTGTGATCTCTCCCTTGTTGTTTAACTTCGCCCTCATTGGTCTCCCTTCAAAACTTCAAACCATCCAACGACTTCATCACACCATTTACGCCGACGACATCACCCTCTGGGTGTGCGACGGCAGTGGCGGTTCCATTGAACAGAGATTACAGGAGGGGATTGACACAGTCGAACGGTATTTACAAGGAACTGGACTATCCTGCTCGGTGGAGAAATCTGAGCTACTGCTATATCGCCCTACACTTAGAGGTCGGCCAACCAAACAACATCCCCAAGCGCAGGCACACGATGATATAAAACTCACTAAAAGCGATGTTCACGCCATACCCACCGTGGACAAAATCCTAGTGCTAGGTTTGATCATAGAAAGTAAGGGTACCAACGGAGAGACAGTTCGCAACATTGAAGCCAGAGTGTCTAACACCATGCGCCTCATTAGACGCATTACCAATAAACACAAAGGCATGAAAGAGGCTAGCATCATTCGTTTGATCCAATCATTTGTTCTAAGTCACATCACCTATACGGCAGCGTACCACCGATGGTTCACCGCGGAAAAGTCAAAGCTCAACAGCCTAATCAGGAAAATTTACAAACAAGCGCTAGGTTTGCTTCAAAACACCAGCACCGAACTACTCCTTCAACTTGGTTTACACAATACCCTTGAGGAACTTATTGAGGCGCAACAAATATCCCAATTCAAGCGATTAGCCAAGACAAAGCCAGGCCAGCAGATTCTATGTAATCTCGGTATTTCTCACCACACTCAACACGGAGACAAACACGACATACCACGCACTATCCGTGCTAAGCTAACAGTACCACCCATACCATGAAACATGCACCCTGAACACAACAAGGGCAGACGTGTCAGTAGAGCCAAAGCCATGTCAAAGATGTTTGGGCGCAACCACGAGGCAGTCTTTGTCGACGCAGCAGGCTACCAGGAACGTCACCGCTTCGTGGCTGCTGTCGTAGACCACACACAACAATGCAAAAGCAGCGCGTCAATCATCAAACGGAACGTAGAAACGGCAGAGGAAGTGGCTATCGCGATGGCCATAGCCCACACTAACGCCTCATGCGTAATCAGCGATTCACAGACAGCCGTTCGAAACTACGCCAGCGGCAGAATCTCCCCCGAGGCATTGCGGATTCTTAGTACAGGCAAAATTCACGATGCGGACAAATACGTATACATCTTGTGGTTCCCTGTCCACACACCACTAGGTAACGCGGAGGCCAGTCCGAATGAAGTGGTGCACAACCTGGCTCGAGGTCTTACGTTCCGAGTCACGTCAGACGAAGCGGCCACCCAAACGGACCTTTCTGCGCCGGTGTGGGAATGAGATGATCGGCTCACTAAATTTAATGACATATTTCAACACTATCGACTGCAAAGGCGGGAGTACTCTCCGCCTCACCCCAAGCTAGATCGGGCCCAGTCCGTTCAGTGGCGGCAGCTACAAACACGCACATACATGAACCCTGTCATCATGCACCACATATATCCCGACGTCTATAGTTCTAATCTATACCAGTACTGTACCACCAGAGCCACTCTTGACCATATCCTATGGGAATGTCCAGCATTAGTCAGAAATTCTGGGGTCGCGGCTTCCAATGAAGACCTTCGGCCGCGTTGGCGGTCTGCGCTGCTCAGTTCGGGCCAGGACAAACAACTTTGGGCGATCCAGCAGGCCAAGGAAGTTGCCGGGAGACACGGTCTCTCCGTTGGCCCCTAGGTGGGAGCCCATCCCAGCAATCTGCCGGAAATTAATATAGTCTATATATATATATATATATATATATATATATATATATATATATATATATATATATATATATATATATATATATATCTCCTGCAGCTCTAGCGGTGGTGTCGTTCACATGGCATGTTGCAAAACTGGTATGGTATGGCATGATTTCATGACGAACACAAGCGACAGGCCCTAAAAT